GCCACTCCCAAAGGCATTTAGAAACCCTTGGGGACAAGTCTTGCCAGCGCTGAGCGTCCTCTGTCCTGTCCCAGTGCTACTGTGCCTTGCAGAGCTGCCTCTGCCTCCCCACCCCCACTGTGCTCCATCCACACCGGCATTTGGGAGGGTCTCTCAGGCCCCCTTCCCTGCCTGGCCTCTACAGAGGCAGGCCCCTCAGCAGGATGACCGCATAATCTGGGTGTGGCTCCATGCCGAACTTGCTGCTCTACTGTCCCCCCACCCCCACTGTCCCCTTGCACCTCATATCTGTCCTGCTCCGGGCCAAGTATAATGGCTCATTTCCTCCCACAGTTGGTGGTAAGTTCCCAGAAAGTGGCCCTGCCGATGGACACCAGCCACAACTGTGCACTCAGCCAAGGGCCCGCTCTCCTGGACATTGTCCCATGATACCCCCTCACCTGTGAGCCTGGGAGTTGAGTTTGGCTCCCCAAATCTGGGAGCAGGGCTGCTGTTCATGCTGTCCTCTTGTTCTGCAGGTTCACGTTGCTCAGCAGGGGTCTAGGCCCCCTCTACTGCAGCACAGAGCCTCAATCCAGAGGGCGCAGTGTCCCTCTGGCTCCCAGGGTCCATGCATGGTGGCAGGCTTCACAATGTTTGGTCACTTGGAGAAAGTAAAAATGGGAGTGGGTGGGGAGGACTGGCCCAGGGGGTGGAGGTTGGGGTCCCAGCTGTGACTGGTGTCCATGTGGCTGGTTCTGAGGAAAGGAGATGAGCCCAGGGCCTTGTCCAAGTTGTGTCTGGGGACTTGCTGATGGCATCAGAGAGAGGAGTAGAGGTGGATGGTGGCCAGAGAAAACATGGCAGAAACAAAGGCAGGTTCACACCAGGTACCCCCCGCCGCCAGCTACAGGGGTCTCCCCCTCACAAGTGCCTCATTTCCAACTCCCAGCTTGGCTGAGCTGCCTAATGCCAAGTACAGAGGCGCCAGGGATCTCCCTACCAGGTGCAGAGTGGACACGCCCTGTGTGGAGCTGGCCCTGTTCTCCCACAGAGACTGCCCTGATAGGAAAGTTTGTGGCCTCCAAATTCATATGTTGAAGCCCCAGTCCCCAGTGTGACTGTATTAGGAGGTGGAAAAGTTAGAGGTTGTTAGGATCAGACAGGGCCAGGAGAATGGGGCCCCAGGACGGTGTTAGGTTTCTCATAATAACAGGAAACGATCAGAGCACCCCACACACATTCCTCCTTACCCCACCATGTGTGGACACAGGGACAAGGTGGCTGTGACAAACCAGGAAGCAGCTGTCACTGTGAACCGCATCTATTAGAGCCTTGATCTTGGACTTCCAGCCTCCAGCAATAAAAGGTGTATTGTTTAAAAACAATTGTGTTAATTTCATCAGGACAGTGTGAACTCACCAAGACAGCAAGTAACAAACATGTGCTCTGGCAGCCTTGGGAAGACAGCGCTGGGGTCCTGCCTCCTTCAATTCAAAACCTAGGTATAATTTGGTTTATTTACTTACTTTTGGTGGAAATGAGGTTTGAACCCAGAGCCTTTGCCTTGAGCTACCCCTCCAGCCACCTTTTCTTCCTCCCCCTCTTCCTCCTCCTTTTTAAAATTTTGAGATTGAGTGGCCAGGCGTGGTGGCACAGGCCTTTAATCCCAGCACTCAGGAGGCTGAGGCAGGAGGATTGTTGTGAATTTGAGACCAACCTGGGCTACAAAGTGAGGTCAAGGCCAGCCTGAATTGCATAGTGAGACCCTGTCTCAAAAAGATAAAAATAAGTAAATAAATAAGTACATACGTACAATTTTGAGGTAAGATCTCCTTAAATCACAAAGTTGTCCCAGGCTAACCTTGAACTTGTAATCTTTCTGCCTTAGCCTCCCAGAAGGCCAGGATCACAGACATGCACCTCTGTGCGCAGCTAGTTTCTTTTTAACATTTGCACTGATGGAATTTTAATTACATAAAATATTAAGCAAACTATGTAGTTGGGTGTCATGGCTTTTCAATAAAGGAGTTATGAGTTTTTCTGGGGACAAGTTTAGATTAAATGCCTAGCACAGAACACAGCGTCAATACCAACGTGGGCAAGGTGGGAGAGCTGAGTGTTCCAGGAGAGCAGACCTGAAGAGCCCCTCCCGTCTCCTTCAGGGCACCTTCCCAGGCAGCAGCCATGAGGGCAAGTCTGTGCACAAAGGCCAACCTCTCAGGGCACGCACACACACAGAGACGCTCTTTAGCATCCATTGTTCCCCTCCAGCTCCCAGCAGGTCTCCTGTCCAATCCCAAGGTTCCAGTGATTGGCTGAGGTCCTGTAGAGGACCCAGGACCCAGGAGTCTCCGCCTTGTCAGGGTGGTCCAAGACCAAAGCTGGGAACCCCACCCTGGGGAGGCAAGGTGTCCTGGGCCCACCTCGGCCTGGAGGAGAGGGCATGATTGTTCCCTCTCCTGGTGAAGTGGTGACTGGGGTGTGCCCTGGGACTTGGACACATGCTCAGTAAATCCTCCTCTTAGTGAGCCCTGATCTGGAGGGACAAAGGGCCTGTGTTGAGCTTCCCTGAGTGTGGGCTCTGGGCCAGCACTCTGTCCTGGGTGGCTGATGGGTGTGGGTGAGGCTTTTCTAGGATTGGTCCCCCTGACCCCTGCACGTAGTGAGTGCGTGTATGCCCCCTGCTCCCAAGTGCAGAAGCTGCTGAACAAGTGTGTGTGGTCAGGGGGCAGGTACACATGCTTTCTGTGTGCATGGGTGTAAATGGGTGTGTGTCTGTCTGTCTGTCTGCACACCTCTGTGAACTTGTGCCTCTCAGGTGCAGTTGGCCAGTGCCCTTGTCTCCTCCAGCCAGGCTGGCAGCTGTCTCTTCCTCCAATCACCCCCACCCCAGGGGGAACTTCCTGGAGTCCTGACCCAGACAGACCGTCCTTCTGGGCGCCAAACCTTGCCAGCCTGGATTAAAAGCCACTGAGCTGAAGAAAAAAACAAGCCACTGAGCTGGCAGCGAAGCTGCAAATGTACCCTTAGCCTTGGGCAGGACTGGGCCGGACACAATCCCCCTTTGTGCTGCTCTTGGGCCCCTGTCTCAAGACTGTGCCTGCCAGTAGGCTGTTCTGCCTCCACCTCTCCGACAGTTCTGGGAGCCCTGGAGGTCTTGTCTGCCCTGGGCCGCTCGGCCTCCAATTTGTCTGCAGGCCAGAGGTTCCCTGACACTGGTGCGGCAAGCTGGAAGGGCAGCTGAGGGGGGCTCACTTCTACAGTGAGTGTCAATGAGGCCAGAGCCCCGAGGACCCCCAGGGAGGCAGTGGGGCCAGAACGTAGGGCAGCTGAGAGGCTGACGCTCTCGTGCTGAACAGAGCACCCTCCTGCTTCCTGTTCTGCCAACACCAAGGACAGCGTCTCATTTGTTCCACGTTCACTAATGAGTAGGTGTCCATCAGCAGGCAGCAGGCTTAGCAGGAAGGACCGGAGACTTGGGGACCTTCGTGTCTCTGAATGTGCCCTCAGCACCGCTTACGTAGCAGAGCAGCCACTGGCTGCACACCGTTGCCCTAACGCTCCAGGACAGTGGCATTGAATTGCATAAAATTCTCTTGTGACGCAAAATACTCTCCTTCTGAAAATTTTCTAATGATTTTAACACATGAAAAGCATTCTTAGCTCACAAATAGGTGGTGGGGTGGTTTGCACTGCAGGGCATAATTTGCCCATTCCTGGTGCAGGCAGCTCCTAGCCCAGCCAGTCCCACAGCCCTTTACCTACTGCCATCTCTGTGAGACCAGTGTCCCCACCTCTTGGTGAGAGACGGTCTGTGACGTACAAGGCCATTCTCCATGCGCCTTTCTCCTCTAAGCACATGGGGGTGTCTACACACCAATGCACGCCCAGCAGGCTCCTGTGGGCAAGGGAGCCTCTGCGCTTCCCACACCTCAGCAGTATCCCCAGGGTGGCACCACTCGTTCAACCCGGACGGACACATCTGTTACTTCTAATCTGTTGCCCTTTCCAGAGACTAACCTGGTGCAGCTGCCTGCATGGATAATCTTGGGCATTCCAGTCCTTCAATGCGGACTCTTGGATCTTCACGGCCACCCAAGAGTAGATTCTATTATTATCCACAAATAACAGGAAGCAGTCAAAGCACAGAAGGGGCTCCCCAGTCACACCCCTAGTGAGCAGAGAACTAAGTTTGCACCTCAGTTAGGCCCTATGCTGACCTCCAGCCTGCGGTTATTCTGGAGGTTGTAGCCCCGGAGGACAGTCCTGCCTTCAGCCTGTCACAATGCGCAGTATCCAAATGACACATCAGGAGCTCCCCTGAGGTTGCTCTTGGTTCCCTGGCTGGGTATCCGGCCGCCTTTATCCCCACCCTCTCATCCTTGTCCTACACTCTTCCTCTGTCCCAGATCCCAATACATGTCCAGCAGGGTAGACTGAACCACCTTGGGTGATTCTTCAACTTCTTTGGGTCAAACATCTCCCCTCTTGAGCTAGTGTGGGTGCATAATGGTAAGACAAATAGGGTCTGTGTGTATCCGTGGGGGTCAAGGAGAATGAAGGGGGTGAGACAGGCAAGGGTGCCCAGGACCCGAGATCTGGAGAAATGCTGTCACCGCTAAGATGAAGGGGCCACCCTCAGCTTGGCCCTCAGGCACTCGCAGAAGAGTTGGCCAAGTCGCTTCTCTGGATTTTGGGCCCACATCAGAGTACTGAGCAAGGCCACGCCTTGAGCATCCTTCTGTCACATGGGCTCTGAACCCCTCAACACAGCTCATCCCCCACTCTGCCCAAAGCCAGTGCGGAGACCACAGATGCCTTCCCAACCGCTGCCCAGGCTGCCCGGCTCTGCCGAGGCAGCCCCAAGCCCACAGTCCTTCTGAGGACACCTGCCTTGGCAGTCCAGGGGTTGAAACCTGCCCAACCTGGTCAGTGCAAGCCCCTGAGTAAACCTCCTCCCGCCTCTGAAGAAAAGGTCAGTCTAGGTGCTGACAAGAGCACCCACAGGTGACAGCAAAATGCCTGTTGTTGTCCCCAGCCTTGTTTGTGTAGGCTGCAAGGCCAAGACAGCAAACACAGCACATCCGGGAGCCTCCCAGGGTGACTACGGGGATTCCCCCAGGACCAGCCCCCACCAGCAGCTCCTTCCTGACCCCCTAGTGACCACTGGCTCCTTCCTTCTGGAGGGGGGCCCACAGGCCCCAGGAGCATATAAGGGGCAGATAACAGGCGCCCGGGTGCAAGACTCCCAGAGCAGACTCTCCTACCAGGTAAGGTGCTGCTGCATGGGTGGCCCAGACAGGCTGGATGCCCCTCTGGGAGTGACGCGGCTTCCTCTCTGCTCCCCAGAGCCTGGTACATCAGCCAGAAGTCATGCTGCTCTTGCTTACCCTTGCCCTGCTGCTGAGCCCTACCTGCTGGGCACAAGGTAAGTCAGCCAGAGCCTCCCCCTCAGGCCTATCTCCCTCTATCCAGGGACTCATCCCAGCCCTCCTCACAGATGGAACCTGGTCACAGGACCTCTGCCTGCCTGCAGGGTGGGGTTCATGGCTCTGGCAGAGGCCCCGTGTGACCATGGTTTCTTCCCACCTTCTTTTCATCCACACCAAATTGGAAGTTGGCAAAGCCTTCACCACGCCTGTGTGCAATGAGGCGGAAATCAAGGGAATCCGGGTGGCAGTGAACCTTGTTGGCAACATTATAAGGTGGGTAAGAATGGAACCACACAAGTGCCAAGTCTCACTCACCCCACAGCTCCAGGACTCAAGGGAGTGTGCACTTACAGTCTCCTCTCCCAGCGTCCTTATCAGCTCCTGGTGACTCTCTGAGGCCATTTCATCCCTAGAATTATTGAGCCACCAGCTACCACCTTTCCACTTGTCTCTTTGCCCAGCTAACTTCTCTCTTCCTCACTTCTTCCCTTCTTCTTCCTGACTCTACCTGTAAGTCCTACTGTTATCTCCCAGTTCGATCAAAGAGGGTGGCTAGCCAGGCATGGTGGTGAAAGCCTGTACTCCCAGCACTCAGGGAGGCAGAGGCAGGAGGATCACAAGTTTGAGCCCTTAACAATTCAGCGAGGTCCTTTCACAAAAGTAGATAGATAGATAGATAGATAGATAGATAGATAGATAGATAGATATGGGACTCAGTGAGAAGACCCTGGGTACAGTCCTTGGAACCAAAAAAAGCAGAAGAAGAAGAAAGAGGAGGAGGACGAGGAGGAAGAGGAAAAGGAGGAGGAGCAGGAGGAGAAGGAGGAGGAGGAAGAGGAGCAGGAGCAGGAGGAAAGGCGGAGGAGGGGAAAGAGGGGAAGGAGGAGGAGAAGGAGGAGCAGAAGGAGAAGGAGGAGGAGGAAGAAGGGAGGGAGGAGGAAGAGAAGGAGGAGAAGGAAGAAGAGAAGGAGGAGAAGGAGGAGGAGGAGAAGGAAGATGGAGAGGGGAAGGAGGAGGAGAAGGAGGAGCAGAAGGAGAAGGAGGAGGAGGAAGAAGGGAGGGAGGAGGAGGAGAAGGAAGAAGAGAAGGAGGAGAAGGAGGAGGAGGAGAAGAAAGATGGAGAGGGGAAGGAGGAGGAGGAGGAGAAGGAGAAGGAGGAACAGGAAGAGAAGGAAGAGGAGAAGAAGGAGGGGAGAAGGAAGTGGAGGAGGAGCCTAAGGAGGAGGACAAGGAGGAGGAGAAGGAGGAGGAGGAGGAGGAGGAAGGGGTTTGTGATGCTTCTCCTTATCTTCTCCTTTCAATCTAAACTTAACCAAAAATGGCTTCTCTCTCCCAATACCTGTGGGAGAAGCAGGGGAAGGTCTGTCTGGTTAGGGCCAAAGAGGAAAGGGTGTGAGGGTCAAAGTGGGCCCCTGACTGAACATGAGTGGCCAGAACCCCAAGAGGCCTCCCTGCACGCTTGGTCTCTGCTTGAAGCCTGGCGTGGGTCACTGCCCTGCACCCAGGGGGGCCAGGGATGTGGGAGCGGGGAGGGTGCAGGGCTGGTGACAGCAAAGGAGACAGAGAGGGCAGGGTGAGGTCAGGTGGTGGAGGCCCTGCGCCTGCACCTGCACCAAGGTGAAAGGGTCCAGGTGAGCCCAGCAGGAAGGGGCTGTGGCAGGCACGTGCTCCGCGGACCCCTGACCTGCTCTCTTAGGAGTGACTCAGGTCGAGGAGGCCCAGCAGCCAGGCCAGTTCACACATGAGGAAACTGAGTCCTGGAGAGGCCGGGTAATGAGTTCAAGACTGCCAAGGCTGAAAGTGCAGAGCAAGGTGTGGTGCCGGGGGTGTGGGTACCAGGACACAGGGAGCACTGAACCCTTCCTCGCTTTGCCTCTCGCCCAGCCTCCAGGTAAAACTGGGAGACCACTGGGATGTTGTCCATGGCCATCGAGGAGGGACTGTCACGGAATTCCTCCTGGACAAAGACGAGTACATCACTGAGGTCCACGGCTCCCAGAAGGTCAACCTCCGGTACCTGCTCCTATGCACCAGCCACGACCGCTGTGCCGCGTTCGGGAAGAATGACGGCCGGCAGTTCTTTGCCTTCCCCCCAGTGACAGGCCAGGTGCTCAAGAGCATCAGTGGCTTGGTTGGACCCATCGCCTTGAAGAACCTTAACTGGAGATGGGGTGATGCACAAGCTCAACCAACCACTGCACCAGCCAACGGAGCCACTGGCACTCCATCACCAGCATAGGATCTGGCCGAGGCCTCACGCTGGGCCACAGACACACCTGCTAAGGCTGCCTGGGTATGGAAGGATGTCCTGACAGTACTGGGGTAGCCAAGTGGGAATTCTGAATCCACTAATAATTAAAGCTTCTGCAGGAACAGTGTCCGGGTGTGGTGTTTGGGTCTGAGGGGCCAAAGCCCCTGGGGCTGGAGTCCAGGTGGGTGGAGGTAACTCTGCCAAGATTCGGGATTTGCCCTTAAAACCCCTGAGCCAACCCTGCCCTCTGAGGAGCCAGGCTCCACGGCCACCACTGCCCCTTCAGCTGGTCTCTAGCGGCCTTCAGCTGCTCTTCAGTGGCCTTCAGCTCTGGGCTCCCCCAAGTGTGTAAGAGGCCTTGGGGAAGCCATTCACCGGCTCATTCACTCAGCAGAAATGTGCCAAGGGCTTGATCCCACCAGGCTGCCCTAGACACTGGGAATGAAGAAGGGGACAGGGGTCCAGCTGAGGAGGCGGCCGTCCTGTGGCAGACAGGAGCACAAGCAGATAGTGGCAGCTTGCTGTGGCACCTGCACAGATGGGGGGGGTGCAGGGCATTGTGTGTGGGCCTCTGCTCACAGGTGAGGGGGAGGGAGTGTGTTCACGGGGCCTTCCTGGAGGAGGTGACACCTGAACAAGTCTTAAAAGGATGAGGGGGAATTGGCCAAGTAGAGACAAGGATGAAAGGCAAAGCTGGGTGTGGTGCATGCCTGTATTCTCGGCTCATTGGGAGGCTGAGGCAGGAGGATTCAAGTTCAGATTGCACCTGGGAAACTCAGGGAGACCCTGTTTCAAAATAAGAAATAAAAGGGCTGAGCATGTAACTCAGTGAGAAGGTCCTAGGTTCAACCCCTAGTACTAAAAACAAACAAACAAAAAAGCTAGAGAAAGCAAAAAACAAGGGTCCACTGTGTGTGCTGCTCACAACAGTCTAAGGACAGGATTACCATTGCCCCATTTGCAAGATGAGAAAACTGAGGCACAGAGGATGACACAATTTGTCCTGGGTCACACAGCACTAAGTGGCAGAGTTGGGGATTAGCTGCGAAGTCTGAGTCCCAGACTGGAGCAAAGAATTCATGAAAACTCCTTACTTCTTTGCATGGAGACACCTGGACATTTTTCTCTTCTCTATACTTTGGTTTCTATTTAATTTCAAACGCTGCTTGAGTAAACTTGGGTCTGGGGACAAAACTCTAAGAAGGCCAGATGTGTTGGCACAAGCCTATAATCCCAGCACTTGGGAGACTGACGCAGGAGGATCGCTGTAAAGTTCAAGACCAGCTTGGGCTACAAAGTGAGCTCAAGGCCAGCCTGAACTGTATAGTGAGACCCTGTCTCAGAAAGACCAAAAAACAAAACAAAACAAAACAAAAACTCTAAGAATCCGTAAACTGGGATGGAAAAAATTCTTATTTGTACTGTCTTCTGCCGAAATTTTGTGTTTCCTTTGGTATGAATGTGACCTCACATACCTCACAAACAATGCTCAATTTGCCACACCAGTTACATCTGTCACAGGCACCTTGAAATGTATACTCATTACAATTTCAAAATTATGGATATTATATTTGCCATCGAAGGTGTTAATGATCAAAACTCAGATATCTGTGGAAACACACTTAAGATAACATTTTGAGCCGGCATGGTGGCCCATGCCAGGAAGCCCAGCACTCTGACAGGCTGAGGCAGGAGGATTGTGAATTCAAGGCCACCCCGGGCTAGAGAGCAAGAGACCTTGTCTCAGACAAGCAAGCAAAAAGAAAAAAGAAAAGAAAAGATTTCGGTTAAGTGTAGTGCAGCTCGCTTTCTTCCCTTGTGGGGACAAGTCCCTGGGGCTGGCTGCGGACCTCCCATTTGCCCTTCCCAGCTGGTCCACCATGCAGGCAGCTAGCTCTGTCACTTAGTTTATTTGCTGCACCTGTCTTGCTGACAGGTAAGTGTGTTTTCAGTATTAGTGGGGACCCGGACTCAGACTGGCAACTGCAGCGGTGGAGGGTGCTGGCAGGACCACTCTGCATTCCCACGCCTCCAGGGTTGGCAATATGGATGGTCACAAGTACCACAGCGTCGATTTTCAAAAGCAACAACTTTTGCCCAGTGCAGAAGAGCAGAGAGGAGAGGAGCCACAGGCACAGATGCTCAAGGGCGGACTTTGGACTCACTGCACCCACGCGTTGCTTGCCTTGCAGTGCTTCAGTGTGGGGCGCCCCGCAGACTCCAAGGTTCCTGCAGCTCACCCTGAGCTCCCACCAGTCCTGCCCGCATTGAAATGGCATTGCCTGAGATACCGCGCTTGCAGTTCAACTGCAGAGATGCACAGGCGGTCCTGGTGCAATCCACAGTTTGGTTTGTGAGTGCAGGGTGAAAACATGGAGTGGGGCTTGAGGATGCCCCACCCCATACTGGCGAGGGAACACAGACCCTTCACACTAACCTACATCTTTAGTGCTTTAAAAAGTTGTCGGGGGGCTGGGGATATAGCTCAGTGGCACAGTGCCTGCCTGGCAAGTGCAGGTCCTGAGTTCGATTCTCAGTACCAAAAATAAAATTAAATTTAAAAAAATAAAATGTTGTGGGCTTGAACTGGGCATGGTGATACATGCCTGTAATTGCAGCCCTTGGGAGGCTGAGGCCAGAGGATCACCTCCAGTGCAAGGCCAGCCTGGGCTACATGGCGAGTTTAAGGCCAGCCTGAACTACATAGCAACACCCTGTCTCAAAAAACAAAACAACAACAAAAATTGTGGGTTCTATTTTTAATTCTGAGACAAAGTCTCTCTAAATCGCTAATGTTCAGGCTGGGCTTGACTTTGCAATCCTCCTGCCTCCCAGAGTGCTGGAATTCCGGGCATGCGCCATCACTGGGGCTGCCAGTCTGATTCTGCTGGTGACAAAGGACCACGTGGGCATACACAGATGCAGAGACTTTATTTAAGTAGGGGATTCAGGGCCGCCGTGGCCTTGTCACTCCATCCTGTGGCCATCTGGTCTCTCGGCCATGTCAGAGCAGCCTGTAGAGGAAGCCCAGATGGAAGGTAGGGCCCATTGTGGAGCCCTCCCCCGGGTCTGTGGAAGGCTTTTGAGACGCCGTGGTAGATGCCTGAGTGGACAGCTTCTGGGGGGCGAACCCCCACTTGAAGCCGATTCCGGAGAGGCAGAAGAACCAGTGCTGGCCGTTGGCGGTCAGGAGCTGCTGGCCGGGGGAGGGGGCTTGGGAGCTGAACCGCGTGCCGGCCGCGCGCCCGAAACTCGCCTGGCGCCCCCTGCTGGTGGTCCAGCGCAGGTGCCAGATGCAAAGGCGCGCGCTGCCGTCCACGGCGGTTATGCGCTCGCCCTCCTCCAGCAGGAACTCCCGCGCGCGCCCGCCGGGAGCCCCGTAGCGCGGACTCCAGTGCTCGCCGAACCGCAGCTGGATGCTGGGGAGAGGCTGAGTTACCGTGGCAACCCTGCGCTCCCTGCCGGCAGACGCCTGCCAGGCCGGCCGCGCCCCGTCCTCTCCCGAACGCGCTTGGGCTTGCCCTCCTCCTAGCCTGGCCAGAGATGGCCTTTACGCAGTTCAGCCGGGTTATTCTCAGGGCCAGAGACCAGCGTTAAGCTGTGCTTGCTTGAGGATGCCACACGTGACCAGGGGGCCTTGGTCACTGTGTTCCGGGCCTTGGAGTGGAAGAAAAGTGGCCCTGACGTCTCCCCGTAGGACTGCGGGGGTAAAAAGCAGGGCTGCCAGTTCGGTTTGAACTTCACATAAACAATGAATAACTTTTTAGTGTAAATGTATCCCAAACATTGCATTTTAAAACTACGACTATGCTGCAGATACTGATGGTTTTGGTTTTGTTTTGGTATTTTGAGGCAGGTGCTTGCTGTGTAGTCCAGACTGACCTGGAATTCACCATATAGCCCAGGCTCGCTATAAATTTTTATTTATTATTTTAAATTTAAATTTTTATTTATTATTTTAAAAATTTATTTATTTTTATTTTTATTTTATTTTTGTACCGGGAATCAAACTCAGGACACTGTACTTGCTAGGCAGGCGCCTATATGCCCCGCCCTGCCTCAGCACCTTGCGTGCTGGGATTACAGGAGAGTGTACCGCTGTGCCCTGCTAACAAATACTGAATATTTAAAGAATAAGTGTACCCAAAATATTGCACAGGACACACTAAAAAGTTATCCACCGACATTCATTTGAACTGGGTGTGTTTGTTTGTTTGTTTGTTTGTTTTACTAAACTTGACAATCCTAGCCCAAGAGACCTAGGGTGCTTTGGGAGAATGATAGATCCCCAGAGGCTGACAGTGGTGGGAGCAGGCGATCCTGGGCCTGCTGGAGAGACTGGCTCTTCTCAGTAGCAAAGGACCAGTGTGGGGAGACAGAGTTGCAGAGTTTGAAATCAGATGCAGACAGGGAGGTCTTTGCAGCTTGTACTCATATGAGTGACTTTGGTCACTAACTACCAAGGGACTCTAAAACCGACAGAACCACCCAGAGGAGAGATCTGCAGAGCCTCCATGATCCTTTCTGAACCAAATTTCCATTCTAGCGGCCTCCCTGATTTGCACCACCCCATCCAAGACCGGGAAGCTGGGACAGTCGGAGTTGAAGACCCAAGGACAGCATGCCCTCTAACAGCTCCAATGGGGAAACCAGAAGGTGTGGGCAGAAGCGGGGGTTTGGGGGAGCCCAGGAACCTGAGTTTACCCCTTGATGAGGCCCAGGATCCCCACGAAGACTCGGATGCCCTGGATCTCGCCTAGCTCTTCGCCCTTGATGTAGAAGTAGGAGCCAAAGCCAGGGCTCTGTAGCTCTGGGAAGAGGGGAGCAGGAAGGTGAGCACAGGGATGCACTCAGGGCAGCCGCGTCAGGATCTCATTACCCATCGGACAGCCGTGCCTAGGACAGGACCGTGTCTAGAACAGAACGGGGAGGCCAAGGCCAGGCAGACGGGGCTCACCCTGGGCACTGCAGGCAGGACTGAAGAGGAGGAGCACCAGGGTGAGGAATAGCAGCATGGCTCCCAGGCACAGGCGTGGAGGTCAGGAGCCACACACAGGTCAACAGCAAGATGAGGCTCTGGGCAGGAGACAAAATGTGAGGGGTCCTGAGACCTCCGGAGATGGGGCAAGAGGACATTTGGGAACCTTTCTCTATGGGCCTCCAGGGCTTAAGAAGAACCCCAAACCGAGCCTGGTAGCCCATGCCTGTAATCTCATCACTCTGGGAGACTGAGGCAGGAGGATCACAGGTTCAAGGCCAGCCTGGGCTGCATAGTGAAACCCTGTCTCAAAAACAAAACAAAATAAAACAAACCAAACAAAAGAGTGCCCAGAGCTGGTTTCAAAGGCATGCTTGGGACGTGAGCATCAGCTCAGAAGGGCCCTGGCCTGCTGCAGTGCTCCAGCGTCACCCTCCTAAAATCCCTGGTAAGATTTGATCAAGGAGCCCCACAGTGTCCCTTTATATTGGATCAAGCAAAGTTTACAGGCAGTCCTGGAAGAGACCCATACTGTGAGGACCCCTCCGTCCCTGCTCTCAGATCCAGTGTCCTCATGGGTCGCCAGAGGCCCCTCCTTCCCCTCCTGCCTCTCCTCCCAATACAGCGCTGGGCGCCGTCCCTCCCTACCTGTGCTGTGCAGTCCAAGCCCCTCAGCCTGCCCCTTCACACCCAGGCAATGCTCAGCCACAGCTGCTCCTGTGGGACTCCAGGGCTCCACCCTCGACAGGAATTCTTGTAGGGCCAGGAACTCTGTCCAGGGTGTCCTGGACACTATTTATGTTCTTACCTACAGCTCCCCCTAGACAAATGAGCCCACAGCACAGGCTCTGTGAGTCTGGGGCCGCCCCATGAGCTCCTCTGAGACACAGGAAGTTCTCAGAGCTGGCCACCCTCAGCGATGCCAGCCCACTCAGGCAAAGCAGCCAGGGGCCAGTGATTATTCTGGTCTCCTGAGATGTGCAGAGAACAAGCGAGGGAGAAAGCAAACAGCCCCTGCCCAGATGACCTCACACAAAAGCCAGTGGCTGAGTAGGTGAGTAGGTGGCCAGCCTCGGGGTGTTCAGGACAGGTCTCAGCTTAAAGGTCTCCCCTCGACACCCTGAGGACCACCTGTATCCTTGCCCATGGATGTAGTGTTCACCAGGCCAGAGCTCCTGACACAGCACATAGCATCAGTTCTGGAGACCACCCGTAGGGCTCTGCCATTCTAGTTCCCATTTTCCAGCCAAAGACCTGAGGCACCAGGAGGCTTAGCACTTTGCCTACGTTTACAGGGGGAGTTAGTGGCCCAGGCCAGCTTCCAGCTCAGGATGTCTAACTCCTCTGCCATACCCAGAGCCCCTGCACCACAGAAATGCCAGCCAGGGGCCAGCTACTGCCCTGCCCAGGTGTCCCCTGGGGTCCCCACCTGGTATCCCTCGCCCTTTCCCTCCTGTTGCTCATACACAGCACAGCCCTGAACACCGACTGGTCCAATGCCTGCCTGTGATGCCATCGAATCTGCCTAGGAATCCCACCCCCAGAAGACAGGCTATCATCTACGTGTCCCCAGAGCCCACCGACATCCGGGTGAGGGGAAAGGCTGGGAAGCCTGGGAAGGTGGTGGAGATGGTTGGCCACACCGAGGCTTTGGGGAGAGGGCACAGCCTCTTGGGCGCTGCAGAAGGGGTACGGGGGACCGGATGGAGTGGAGGGCTGAGCAGTGGAGCTGCCAGCGCATTAAGCCCTCAGCAAACAGCAACCTCACCGGAAAGGGCGCCCAGACAAGCAGACAAAAAGCTGGGACACCTACTGGTCTCTGAAATAAGTAAACAAAGCCCGGTTTACTTATATAAGAACATTAACGTGGTCAGGGGTCACTGTAGGGAGAGGAAACAGGCAGAATCCTGGGCCCTTACCTCTTGCCCATTAAAAATATGATCTGTATTTTCTCCTGGAATAGCCAGGGTCCTGAAAGCCATTTTTGCTATGAAGCTTAACTTCATGTGGGTCGACAGATGCCGAAGTTAACTAATAGCAGAACAAAAATTGACATTCATTTTGTATCCTTTGCTGCTATTAGCGTTTGGGTCAAATCTCTTCTCAGGTCTACATATAGACATGCTAATCGTTAGGGCGGGTCTGTCTAAAAATTGGCAAACACTGTTGATTAGGGCTGAATTTACATAATCTTACCACCTTCAGGACTGAAGACACCAGGCTGGGTGATTTCCAGGGACATTCAGCTATGCCTGAGAAGTCTCCAACCACCCCATCGTCCTCAGGCACTTGGGAACAAGACAGTCTCCCAGCCATAAGGCTTCCAGAATGATGACGCCAGGACTGAGACAATGATCAACCAGACCCAGCTCACATCCCTCGTTTTTGTGTGGGTCTGTCATCCCCTGTGTCAGAACACGCCCCCTCCAGCTACCCTTTGCTATCTTCCCTCTAACTTTGCAATTAAATCTTTGTCCTATAGATTTGTGCTCTAGTTTTAATTTCCGTTATTACTAAACGCAAGGACTCAAACTAGCTGCCAACAGGCCTGCCAGACACCCTCCACCCCCAATCTTGCCACAGGAGTCGGGTGGGTATCAGAGCAGAGTCTGTTCCCAGAGCTCCAAACCCCAGGCGGGGGGTTTGCACACACCACACCACTGGCCATACATTATTTTACCAGTTTTTCCCCTTCTCCCTGTTGTTGGTCTCCAGTCTCTCTGGGATTATCTGTATCAATTCATATGTTATGAGACATTAGCTTTTTTTTTTTTTCTTTTTAGACAGGATCTTATAGCATACGAGAGGAGAAGGGGACCAAGAGAGGCCACCAGGCTGGTGTACAGGCAACATGGCATGGAATTTATTGTGCCTTGGTGCAGGCCAGCCGAGAGCGATTAGGCTATCTGCCAAAAAAAAGAGAAGTGGTCCCATTTATAAGGATGGAAAGAAGGTAGGTGGGAAGATTTTAATAAACATCTGTGGTCAGGGGCTGGGGATATAGCTCAGTGGCATAAGTGCCTGCCTGGCAAATGCAAGGTCCTGAGTTCGATTTCCAGTACCAAAAAAAAAAAAAATCTAAACATCTGTGGTCAAAGTTCTCTGGCAGTTTTGCACCTCAGTGGGCAACGTCCTTGACAGCCCAGTGGAATATCTCTGGAAAATAAAGCCAAGAACACATCACTGGAAAATATAATCTGGGCCAGGGCTTTAGCTCAGCTGTGTAGTGCCTGCCTGGCAAGCGTGAGATCCTGAGTTTGATTCCTGGTACCCACCCCCTCCAAAATGTAAACTAACGGAGGAGATCCTCATATCAACAACAAACACTTTTCACTCTACTTGATCTCAACTATTCGTGCACGCACACGCACACACACACACACACACACACACACACACACAGCACACACAGGAACATAAAGAAACAAGGCGGCCAGGTGTGGTGGCGCACGCCTGCAATCCCAGCACTCGAGAGGCTGAGGCAAGAGGATCATTGTGAGTTCGAGACCAACCGGGGCTACAAAGTGAGCTCAAGCCAGCCCGAACTAAATAGTGAGATTCTGTCTCAAAAAGACAAAAAAATCAAAACAAAAGAAAAAAACCAGGCAACAAAATGCCTCCAAAAACTCCCAACCCTCCCAAAGCAGATCCAAGAGGCGTGGTGGAGAGAAAAGCAAATGACTGAGAGCTAAACTACAAAATGATTAAAGAGGAAGTAAAGAAACAGAGTGAGCTCAAAGAGGACATAGCCCAACAGGTAGTGAACCCGTCGTCCAAACTGACCAATGCACTCAGAGGAGAAACATTAGAAACTGGAAGAGTAGATCAATGTGGTTCAAAGTATAAACAAGCTTATCAGAGAAATAGGCTCCACAGAAAGGTGCCACACAGAAATTCCCAAGGTAAAGAATTCTATAGAATTCATAAACAGAAGAAATGACAAATGTGAAGATAGGACTCCAGAAACTGAGGATACAATGGAAATACATGATGCTTGACTCAGAGAAAGCCCAGAGAAGATCAGGCAGCAAGAAAAATTCACCCAAAAGCTATCCGACGATGCTAAGAAGACTAACCTAAGGCTAACTGTAGTTAGAGAGAAATCAGAGGACAGATGCATAGAAAAGAAAATGTTTACAAAAATCATAGCAGATGGGGAAAGAACTCAGCCTACTGGTGAGGCTCACAGAATCCAACTAACTACAATAAAAAAGAAGCTCCACACCGCGCATCGTAGACAAAATCCAAGATGTCCATGAAAAAGAAACTCTTAAAAACTATCAGAGG